AGCTGCAGCTTCATGCTGTTCCCAGCTACTGTGGATAAGGAACCAGCTGAAAGATTTTGGTGTTATTTATAAAAGTGTTCCTATTTTCTGTGATAACACTAGTGCAATCAATATTTCAAAGAATCCTGTGCAACACTCCAAGACAAAACACATTGAAATAAGACACCATTTTTTAAGAGACAATGTGGAAAAAGGATTGGTGGAGATGTTGTTTTGTAAAAGTGAAGATCAAATTGCTGATATCTTCACAAAGCCTTTGTGTAGAGAGTCTTTTTGTAGGTTAAGAGTCCTTTTAGGTCTAGTTAGATTTTAGGTATTGGCTTCAATTACTTCCTTCAATGATTGGTTAGAATGGTATTCTCTTGTATAGTGTGTGTACATACTTATGTTGATATCTTTCAAGTGTTGTGTAGATGGTTCAAAATCTCAAAAGGATTGAGAATCATTGTTGTAAGAAACAGGTGAAATCAGGCTGAATTGCCAGAAACAGCGTGACATGGTTCTATACAGGTACCAGCAAAGGAAAACAGCAGACCAGCTCTGATATGTCATCCGATAATATCTTTTATTTTCGGAAGATTACTATAAGATATATCCTTTTGGAAGGAATTTATCTTATTTCAGTTATTTAATCCCATATAAAAGGCAAACATATCATATGCCTTATTTATAGTTGGTTGAGATAATTATGGTAAAAGATAATTACCAAAATTTTTGATTTCAATTTAAAAATATCCTTTACAGTTGCTTTTTATTGGCTCAACTAACTCTTTTCTTTTCTTCTTCTCTCTTTGTGCTTCATTGTTAAAAATATACACTAACCCTTTGTGCAGATCATCAATCATCATCACTCGAAATTCTCTTTCTCTCTCTCGTATGCTTTAAATTCATCATTGTTCATTTGGTTACTGTTCACTCAAGGAACCAGCTCAGTCTCAGGGGGAACATCAGATGGAAGCATAAGTGTCCTTAAGCCCGAAGTTGGAGGAAATTCAGAAAATTCAGAGTGAAGAGGATGAAATAGAGATTGTTGGTTATTATGAGGAAACACCCATTGCTAAGACCATGGTACGAAGTAGAGTAACTCAATTAAAGAAGTTCACTGAGAAGGTGCAGGAGGAACAGTCCATTGACGCTGTTCCAGGAACCAAGAGAAAAAGGGTACCAGCAAGAACCTCCTTGCTTGATTGATGTGATGCTAGTTTTGCACTCGTTATGCAACAAGGAGAACAGTTTTGCACTCGTTATGCAACAAGGAGAACATTCTGAATCTGTACATATCTCTCATGCTTTCTTTAAACAAAAAAAAAAAAAAAAAAAAAAAAAATAGAGGAACCAGCAGGTCAGGAAGTGGTTCTGAAACAGATTGAAGAACCATGAGAATATGCTTAGTAAGATAATGCGATTGGTTCAAGTAGAGCATGATGACAAGGTTGAGTGGGATGAAGAGGAACCAGATGATGATGCAGAAGATGTTGCAAAGTTCGAGGAGGAGGAAGGGAACGAGAATGATGATGAGGAGTGATGCTGTTTCTGTTCTTGTTTCCTCACCCTCATGTTTATTCTAAAATAACTGATTTTGTTGGTCTGTCTACTTCTCTCCATTCCATGAACTTTCTTTTTGGATGGATTTGGGCTTCTTTGGTTGAACTTTGTTGGCTTGTATGAACTACTAACTCTGCTATGGTATGAACTGTTTGACTAATCTCTTTTTGCAGCATAATGCTTGAATGGTGGTTGATGCCATTGTATGGATAAGCACATTAACTTGTGCACATTGCTTTTACTTGTGGATACTTTTTAATGATGCCAAAAGGGGGAAGTAGTCTGAAGTTGAAGCCTAAGGTTTAGCTAGTTTAGATTGAGTCAGTTTGAGTCTTTTTATTTCGCACTTTCTATTTTCTGTTTAGGGAACCAGTTGGCCTAACTGACTTGTTCCAAAGAGTCTTGAGTCCTTGAAGTTTTTGACGGTTTTCCTTTTGAGCATGTCCACAGGTTCAGGAACTTCAAAAGTTTGTCATCATCAAAAAGGGGGAATTTGTTGAGTCCCTTAGGTTTTGATTGATAGTTTTGAATGATGACAAACAGCTAAGGGAAACAGGTCCTTGAAAGTGTTCGATACAGTTGGGGGAACCAGCTAACATAGAACACTGTTTCCCCAGACAAGTTATTACTTACATGAGTTTTCTTATTGAACTAACTTGTCTTTATACAGGGAACAGTTATATGATAAAAGTGTTATATACTGGTAGGGAACCAGTATGTAATGTTTCCATGGTTGCTACGTGGTAAAGCAGTCACATACTCTTTATTGTGCATTAACCATGTTACATGTGCAGTAGTTGAGTTGATTCCAAGACTTGGAGCATAGAAGCCTTTCGAAGATATTTCGAAGAAAGATTGTTTGCTCATAATAGAAGTATTCAAGGAAGATTCAAGTCTTGAAGATTACATGAAGAAAAGACGATTTATGCTTTAATATGTTATCTAGGTTTTTCATGTAATATGCTCCGTAGTATGCTTGCATGTTTGGGTTATATAAGTGCTTAAAAATATATTGAAGTATGATATGAAATCTGGTACAAAGTTGGAACAGGTTTCATAACATGTTTCAATTCAGGGAACCAGGTCGGGGAACCAGGTTCACTGTATTCGAGCTGCCGTTTTGGAAAAAGATTTTACAAAAAGATTTTTTCGAAAAGATTATCTTGAAAATATTTTGTGCAGCTGGAAATAAGATGAAATATTCTTGGTTACCTAAAATCTAGGAGTATTTATCTTAATTGATTCTATCTTTGTGATTAAATCAAATAAGATAAAAACTTTCCTAAAATTACATTATATCTTATTCTCTAAGATTGTGTGATTTAAGGAAACTAGGTTTTAGGAATCTAAGCTTATATAAACTCATCTTATTTCACATATTTCGTGTGCCTCTCCAGAAATCAAAAAGAGCAATTATTTGAGAGCATATACTTAAGCACTAATCCCATTCATCAAGTCATATACAAGAGCATTCTAGTACTTAAACTTTTTCTCTTAATTAGCTTCGTAGAAGTGAGATCAAAGGGGAGTTCTTGATTCTTGTATTGAGTCTTTAACAAAGGGGTTAAAGGCTGGGTGAGTGTTTGTGAGTTCAAACACATTGGGCTTACGAGTGTAAGTCGAGAGCACACTCGGAGTAGAGTGTGGGGTTTGCTGGTTCCCGGAGTAGGGAACAGCAGAGTGTTCTTTGTCTTTGTTTTTCGGAGTAGATTAATAAAGAACTTAGGATAGGAGGACGTAGGCCTGAGTTGGCTGAACCTCGTTAAATTTGTTGTGTTCTTTATTGCTTTGTTTCGTTAAATTTGTTGTCTTCTTTATTGCTTATTTATATTCCGCTGCGTACGGGAACCAGCACAACTGGTTCCTCACACATAATCCGAAAAGAAGCAAAATTAGCCAACGATTACTTAACACTCAATTCACCCCCCCCTCTTGAGTGCCCATTGAACCTTCAATAAATATGTTGCAATTCATGAAATTGGTCCATTATGGACCGACCATCAACAAATTTAAAATTATTAAAATTGCTAACTAAGAATTTCTTACTTGATGCATCTTCCGCCATGTATTTGCTTTCCAAAGACTCCCAAAGATCCTTGGCCGACTCAATGTTTTGATAGACATCAAACAAGTCATCCTCCATACCATTCAAAAATTTGTTGTTAATTCTTTCACACAAGACATACTTGAAAAATTCTAAGATTAAACCTCTTTAGATTGTTAGGTTTTACAGTGATTTCAAACAAGAAAACACTTAAATTTGTGTGGGAACAAAACCTAAAATAAATGATTACAATGTAAATGTAAATATCAAATACTACACAATGTATTTCAATCAAGTAATAAATATCTAAGAAATTACAGAAATTTCTAAAGACAACACTAGTGTGAAGATGATAAAACTTGCCTTTCCTCCAAGCCAAGAACAACGAACATGAACATGAGAATTCCAATGTCCCGTAAGACTAGATCCTTGATACACTGTCAAAGGCGTGTGAACACTTTCCTAAAGAGGTTTATTTCCCCCACACGGTACTCGGGTTAAACCGAAAATCCTCTTTGAGATACAATTGACAGCAATTTCGTTCTTAGTACTAGAATCGAAATCAAGATGACAAATTCACCAATATTGGAATAATTGAAAGAGTTTCCTCACAAAAGTTTGCAAGAAATTTGAGAGAAAAATGTGGAAAATTCTGCTTAGGGAGATGAAGAATAATGTTCTGTATATTTCTTTCAAGAAAATAAGCCCTTTTAATAAAAGACTCAACCGTCAGAAAAAACCGCAAAACAGGGAGGCGCAGGCGCTCCACCAGGAGGTGCGAGCGCGCCACCAGGTGGAGCGGGCGCTCCTATATTAGGAGCGGGCGCTCCTCCCAAAAACTGCGAATTTTCACAAAAAGGCAGTGAGGTGCGCGGTTTAGGCGCGACCAGCTGCGCAGCGCGCCAACCAGGACGCGCGGGCGCGCCATCCTCACCCTTCAAATTTGCCAAATTCCAGAGAGGTACGCGGTTTAGGCGCGCTCTCTGAGCGGCCGCGCCAAACTTGCGCAGGCTCTCCTTCATGGTCGCGAGCGCGCAACCATCAACACTCTAAATATTCAACAGTAGAAAGGGTCTGCACCATCATCCTCTTCTTCTTCAATGATTTCATCTTCAAGTTCACTATCAACCTCTACTTGATTTCTTTCACGATGCCAATCTTGCATACATACTAAAGCTTGAATTGTTTTTGACTTTAATGAATTTCGCAATGCCAAATCTGTCTTTCCTCCAATACTAAAAGCAGACTCCGAAGCTACAGTACTTACAGGAATAGTCAACAAATCCCGTGCCATCTTAGATACCACAGGATACCTCACAGAACTTTGATGCCAAAAATCCAAAATATCTAATTGTGAATTGACATCTAAAGCATCATCATATAAGTACATCTCATGTTGTGACTTTCCTACTTAAGACCTTGCACTAGTACCAACAAAATGGTCATAATCATTAAAGTAGTTTCTAGCTCCAAAAGTACTAGGAGGAGAAGGAGCAACTACAATAGGTGAACTACTAGCATATTGCAACTTATAGTCCTCAAACATTGACTTCATAGTTCCCAACACCAAGTTAATTCGTCTTGAGGCCTCTACACTTCCATATAACTTACTAAAACAATATTCCACAAATTTCACTTTGTACCTCGGATTAAGAATGGCGGCACATGACAAGTACAAATTGTAATCCGACCAATACTTGTCAAATTTTTCAAGCATTGGTTTCACCATTTCCTTTAAATAATCATAAGGACCTTTCTCCGCCTCAAGCAAATGGCGATGCACCATCCATGCATCTTTAAAATACACATTAGAAGTAGGATAATTCACCGCCGAAAATATACAAGTAACCTCATAAAACAACTCCAAAAAATTGTGAATCACGCTTACTTTTTCCCACTCATCCTCTAAAGGAATATATGATTGAAATGAAGCATGACTAGATCTCAAGTGAAGAAAAACATCTTTGAAGTAAAGAGAAGTGCCAAGCATTTTATACGTGGAATTCCAACGAACATGCATATCAAGGTTCAATTTCCTTTTTACATCAAGGTGAAATATCTTCTCCGCACAATCATAGAATTCTTCACTTCTATGAGAAGATTTGATGATCAACTTTATAAATGAACGAATTTTATCCGAAATTCCACTTATACAAGTCAATCCTTTTTGCACAATAAGATTAATAATATGGGCACAACACCGCACATGAAACAATGTCTCACCACAACTTAACCCTCCTCTAGGAACAAGACGTCTCTTCAAACAAGATATCATTGCATCATTATAAGTTGCATTATCAACGGTGATAGAGAGTATCCTATCATCTAATTTCCATTGGCAAAGAAACATACAAATCTCATTAGCAATACTTACCCTATCATATGGAGGAGCCAAGGCCCTAAACCTAAGAATTTTTTTACGAAGTTTCCAAGAATCATCAACAAAGTGAGAAGTGACACAAATGAAATGTTAAAAACATTAGACAACAAATCTTTCAATTTATCCCTCTCCAATACATAAGCCTTCAATAAATCTCTCTCTGTGGTTGCACAGCCAAATGGTATAAACTTAGGGGTAGCTCTTTTCATCATTCTCCTAAATCCTTGTTCTTCAACCATAGTGAATAAATTAAATGACCTTCCTCAACAATGAAATTAAGAATCTCTTTTCAAAGTTCATTTATGTCAAAAACAAAATTTTCTTCATCATTATCTTCCTCAAATGTAAGTCCTAGAGGCCTATTTGCACACCTCTCTAAATGACGCTTCAAATGAGATGTACCACTATCACGATGTGCAGATAAAATAGAATTACAATGTACACATGTAGCAATTCTTTCACCTTGAACATTCTTCCCTTCAATAAGCTATCTCCAAACTTTAGACCTCTTCTTTCTCTTTCGTTGCGGAGTGATGTATTCATTATATCCATCATCACGTGTCGTATAAGTAGTAGTAGTAGTATCATCATCCATATTAAGGAACACACTGCACAATTGCAAGCTTAGAAAGATTACCAACAATTAATGGCATTTAATTAAAAATTGCAAAAACTCATGTCAACTAAAAATTCAGAATAGCAATTATAATTGGTTAAGCAGAATATCTTCAAGAAAAGGTGTTAGCTTCAATTTAACATTATATTGTTAGCTTCATTTTAACATTATTTGCATGCTATGTAAGTCTGATTCTTTTCTTCTTCGTTCGTATTTATTTTCCATTTCAATTATTTATTTATTTATTCTTCTTCAATTTGTTGGTTTATACAATTGGAAATTCTTATCATTTTTATTATAATTGGTTAAACAGAACAGCACTCAAAGTACAGCAATACAAACCCACAACAAGACATCACCGATCAAACAATTTTGATTTAGCAATTATAGTATTAACCTAAAATTTCGAATCATATAGCAAAATAATCGAAATTAACTAACCTCAAAGGAAAAACAAAGAAGATCGTCTAAATTGTGAAGCTTGAAAGCTCGAAATCGCAATAATTTGTAAATCAATTGAAGAACTTAGGGTTTATTTCTTCAGAAGATCGAAAAGAGGGGAGAAAAATTGGAGGTTCTGGTTTTTTCTTTGGTCATTCTAATCCTCTAATTTTTTTTTCTTAAATTTGGATTTTTTCTTTTTGGCCCTTTAATTTTTCTTTGACATAAATGGGTTGTCAATAAAAGCCCATTATTGACCCTATATCTTAAAGCCCTTTAGTGACCCTGTCCACTAAAATATTAAAAGGTCAAGACCCTTTAAATTTTGGTCCGACCCTATTATCAATGGGCAGCCCTGTCCATTAATCTCCCATACCCATCATCACCATAACCTCCACTATTTTATTAATTGCTTATATATGGAGTGACCCAATATGTAACTAGCCACACGTAAGAATTCGTGAATAGGGTGACATTTCTTAATTTTTTTTAAGACAACTTCGAAAACTGAGATCAAACTTATGAGTCTTTTCTATTCATCACGGAGTACCATTTCAAAATTTATGACTCATTTGTTAAAAAAGAAAACATTAAAAAGTAACTTTTGCAAAAAAGGAAAATGTACTACTCCGTATTCAATCTTCATTTAGACGAAAAGATAATTTTTTCCACAAAATTCCATTAAAAAAGGGAAAATTCAAGTTTATAATAAAGACAACTTGGGGTATTTTTGACTTTTAAGTTATGAATAGTATGGTCCCTCAAAAAAAGGTTATGAATAGTATGGAAATTATGACATTTCCATATTTTGACTTCTCTCTCCTCTATCCACTCCTCCACCATCACTTAACTAGATAATTAGGGGTGCGCAAATCGGGTACCCGATCAAAATTTTAGGATCCGGATCCAGATTTGGTTGGGACCAGGTCCTAAAATTCAGAACCGGAATTGAAACCGGTACAAGCGGGTCCTAAAATTTAAGAATTGGAATTGATTCCACCGGGTACCCACTTATATACGTACTTGTTAAAATATAATACAAATCTTAATATTTTTTTGGTTTATATATATATATATATATATGTTTTACTAGGTAGATACGTTCAACATATTTTTGTTTTTTTTTATAAATATATTTAGTTCAATATATATTGGGTAATACCCAACCGGTTCCGATTCCAAGAAATTGAGAATTGAAATTGGAACCGGTTGCAACAGGGTCCTTAATTTATTACCCGCAATTGGAATCACCGGGTCCATTTCCAATTCCGGGCCCGCCGGTTCCGATTTCGATTATGGGTACCCGGAATTTTCGCTCACCCCTACAGACAACCATCATCACCATCAAACAAAATTCCTCCCCATTGCACGACCACTAGCACTGCCCCGTTGCTCCAACTACACGATCCCACATGCATTGTACTGTGCACTAGCATCGCGTCGTCGCTCCAACTACACGACCCCAACTGCATAGCTCAGATCTAACTATAAAAACCTCCACCATTGCTTTTAAGCAACATGCCCGATGATTAGCAAATAATGTTCCCTAAGGGGTTAATATGGGTTCACTTACATATTTCGCTACTAGGATCTCTTTTATTCAGCCGATCAGTTAACCGCCGTGAGATATTATAGGTGGTTGATCGACGACTCGGCGTGTCAATGGGAGGAAAGGAGAGGGGGGGTGATTAGGTAGTGGTGGTGGAGTAGCTAGAGGAAAGAGAAAGAGGGTAGTTGGTAATTTGGTATGATATGTCAAACTATTGGAAACTTTGTCAAAAAAACCATTTTATATGCACCATTTTGAGAAAAAAAAAACCTTTTAAAAGCTTTATCATAAAAAAAAAATCCCGAAGTTAAAAAAAATTTGTTCAAAGAAACCTAGTATCACTAATTAACTTAATTAACCTCTAATCTCTTCTAATTACTCTCTAACCCTCACTTAACTATTTAATAATTAAATTAATTTATAAATTAAAAAAGAAAAAACCACCACCACTCTAACCACCAACCCAGCCACCTTCCTTTCTCTCCCATTCCCCTGGCAGCCACTCCTACCACCGGTGATCCAACTTTACCGCCGAGCCCTTTCCCTTTACCTCAACCACCTCCAAACGGCCTGACCCCCACCTACGATCGACCCCCTCTCAAACCCTAACCCCGACAACCTTCCTACCCACCACATCAGCCGCGAAAACCACCCCAGCCACACCCACTCGACCAGAATTCCCGAAGTACCACCGCCCACAGACCTCGACGGGGGAGGGACTGTGTTTTCTTCCTCCTTCTTCTACTTCACTTTTTCCCTCTTCTTCAACCACCATCAACATTCAACCATTTACAATCATTCAATTTTTCAATTTTGAAAAAGATAAAATTATTGAGGAAACTAAGCCAGCAATAGGCGCTGGAAAACATGGCGTCGAAGATCGAAAACCACCATTGACGGGGTTGATTTGATAATCTTATGGTGGGTTATCGGGTTTAGGGTTTCGGAAGGTGGGTCATCGGAGGTAGAGGGTTTAGAGTGGCGGCTAAGTTGGGGGAGGGGGCTGTTGCCAGGGGAGGGGGAAAGGGAGGAGGGTGGCTGGTGGTTTTTTTTTTTTAAAAAAAATTTATACATTAACTTAATTATTAAATAATTAAGTGAGAGTTAGATAGTCATTAGAAGAGATTAGAGGTTAATTAAGTTAATTAGTGATACTAGGTTTCTTTGAACAAAAAAATTTTAAGTTCGGATTTTTTTTTTTTACTATAAAGGTTTTAACAGATTATTTTTCGTAAAATGATGCATTTTAAAGGTTTTTTTTTTCACAAATTTGCCCAAATTATTTACCAAATTGCTAGTTTTGCGATAAAAACATCCAAGATTTACCCCGAGAGAAACCTAAGCTCCCCCTAAAGAAACTCAAAAAAAAAAAAAAAAATCGAAGGCAAACATCGAAAATAACACCACGATACAACCACCAATCTTCCACCACCACCAAGCTTCGACAAATCAAACAACAATGGCAGGAACCTCTCATCTTACCAAGAACATTTGTTCATTTTCTCTCTCCTCTCCTCGCACTTCTATCCTCTTCAATTCCCCCGTATTTTTCTCAAACTTCTTAGCTTGTAAACCTCGAATTAATACCAAAAACCTTGCTCTTAAATTGAATTATTCCACCAATTTTAATTTCAATTCCAATGTTAGAGAACGAACGACATTGGTTCGCGCCATGTCATCGTCTTCGTCTTCTTCTTCTTCTTCTTCTTCTTCTTCGTCGTCTTCTTTTGGGTCGAGACTTGAGGAAAGTGTGAAGAAGACAGTTACAGAAAACCCAGTTGTTGTTTACTCGAAAACTTGGTGTTCGTAAGTGTTTAATTTGGAGATTTTTTCAATAATTTGAGGTTTTTCTTTGAGTTTTTATCTATTTTATGATCATTTTGTTTGATTTTATGAATTGGGTTTGTTTCAAAATTGGAAATTTTGATGGGATTGAAGTGGATTTTGGTTCTTATATATTCATGTTTGTGAATTTTTTGGTTGAAGGTATTCTTCTGAGGTGAAATCATTGTTCAAAAGACTTGGAACGGAGCCATTGGTTATTGAATTGGATGAATTGGGTATGTTTATTAGTTTATATCTTTTTAAGTTAGCATTAAGTATAAATCAATACTAATATTTAATAACAGGAAAGTTAACATGCCACGTAGAATTGTTGCAGTAATTATGTTTATTGGACTGTTGTCGATTGTGGCTGTTAATTTATTGTACTGGCTTTGGGCAATAATTACTATATACGAAGTATATGTATGATCATTGTTACAATGGTGTTTTATAAGGATGTGATTGTGCTGTAGAAATTGCAATTTAGGTTCACCTTTCTTTCAAGTGTGGTTGCAGGCTATAATGTTTTTGATTTAGTGGTGGAGAATGGTGTTGGGCGAGTAGTCTTTATTTAAGGGAATAATGGAGGATTGAATGGTTTAGCGAATGCAATTTAATAAGCTATGCGTAGTGAATTGATTGGACTATTGGAGGAGGTTGTTAAAAGGTATTGTCATATCAATGTTAGAGAAATGGGTAGTGCAAGACTGCAAGTCATATTATACAATTAACTTTGAGTGTTGGTGGCGTTTTTTAGAATGAACTGCCTATACTGATGTTTGATATTTCACATTGCTGCATTGTTTTAGCATGCGATAGACATGACACATGATTATGGAAGTAGTTGACTTTAGAGTGGGATGTAGATTGCTGAGTTTAATTATATGTTTACCACAGTGCTTTTAAGAGGACATCCTTATGGGTGGAACTGTGGAAGTGTTTTCATGTATCTGTATCAGTTTACTGTAGATCAGCCTGAGTACTTGACAACAAGTCAAAAGCCAAATACTCAGGGCCAATTTGTCAACAAATTGAATTAGTCAATTTCACTGCAAGTTATTCTCACTAGTGAATCTTTCCACTTTAAACTTCTAGAGACCTCTGATGGGAAGAGATGAAATAGCATACATAAATGTTTTCCAGGATGGTAGACTAGGTAGAACATCTTTTGTGATGTACTTGTAAGTAAATCTTGGCTCATTTTCAAGCGTAGTGCAAATTTCGTAAAGTGAATAAAGTATATAAGCAGGGGCTGAAATAGTTACGACTGCCCTTTCAGAAAAGGGTATGATTTTAGAATTTTTATACTATGTTTGGATAACAATAGTGAAGGGAAAGGGATGGGAAGGAAAAAGAGGGAAGGGAAAGGGAGGTGAGGTGAGGGAGAAGGTGAACTTCCATTTTCCTTCCAAATCTCTCCAACAATGTAGGGATTTGATTTATTAATAAAGGGAAAGGAAAATGGATCCTTCCAATTCCCTCCCCATCCCTCCTTGCATTAGGTATCCAAACAAAGGATGATGCATCTTTCCCTTTCTCTTCTCTTCCTTTCCCTCCATTTCTCTCTATCCAAATATAGTGTTAGAACTTGAAGAGAATAGATTAAGTAAAACAAGTAAAAAGGGTGGTCTAGTAGCTATTGGAAAAGATTATGGTGGAGGATCCTGACCTTTAGTCAAACGCGAAAGCTCCCTCCCGCATCAAAATTCCCCGAAGTAAGATAAAAAGATTCTAAATTAATTGTCAATCTAGAAGATGAAGGAGGAGCTTGAGTGTTTAGATAAAGTATCTAATCGATAAGATTGATGGTTCACCAAATAGCAACACTAATGTTTCTTTTATATAGTGTAGATAAATGCATGAGAGTTGATGTTAAACTTGTGATAGAAGAAGAAGAAAAAGTTTGGGAGAAAGAGAGATAGAGGAGTATACTTTCATGGTTTAATAATGAAAGGTAATGGTCCCATTGGATGATTGGAATCCAAACATGGAATTTGAATGTAAGCCTTGTTTTCCAGGAGTGTTTTTGATTTGTAATGGTCCCTTTATAATCCAAATTTAGGCTTGTGTATATCTCTCGTTTAAAAGGGTATTTTGATTTGATATAGGACTTTGTTCTCAAATGTAGAGAAACATTATTTGAATTCTTTTGAGTGTCATTATAAGTGTTTCATGGCTTCATTGTTTGTGAATTCAGTCAATGACTTCTACTAAAATAAAATCATGGAAGTCAATCTACCAATATTGTTGAATTGATAGCTTGGTCAGCAGATGAGGATAAGAAAAACTATAATTTTTTAAAACATAGAAGGGCTAAACTTCACATTGATCCTATGGTTTTAATCTTGATTAAGAAAGCTCTCTTTGACTACTAGTGAATAGTTGTCAGATTCTTTACTTTGGATGGGTTTAGATCACAATATTTAATCATGAGATAGCATTTAGTTGGTCATGGAAAGATATTGTTGATCTTTAGGTGTTTTTTGCTCCTTGAGAACTGATGGATGTTTTTTTTAATTATTTTATATTGGTGGATGAGAGTAGGTGTGGTGCTGGAATTTCCTTTTGTTATGAGGGCTAATTATGATGATATTGTAGATATTTCCTTTTTAGGGTCACAAGTTGATTGGCGTAATTTGTCTCAGAAAATATTAGGACTCTAGGTTTTGGCTTAATAACTATATGTGCTCATTTCCCATCAGCAATCCAATTTTTTCAGTAAGGGCCTTAAACCTAGCAATGTTTTTACACTATGCTTTCAAAGATAAGATCTTATGATTGGTCAAGTGAAGTTGGGATTGAAAGATAGAAATTCTGGTTCTTGATGAAGCTTATTGGTAATATTAAGATGAAGCAAGAGACTTTCAAAGATATCAATGGGTTTATAGGGTTATAAACATTGAAATCAGGAATTTGAGAATAAGAGGATATCTTTTGGAAAGCAACTTTAAAATTTCGGTTTGATGTCAAAGAAATTGGAATAAAGAGCCAGAAGTATTCATTTTTTGGAGAATAATACAAGGGGCAGATATCTTCATATTCCTTTCTTAATAGGTATTGATGTTGGCTTTATCTTGGTGGATTTTGTGAGGCCTCCTTGCCCTCTAGTTGTATAATAAACTATCGAAGGAGAGTAATTATTAAACTCCAACGATTTAAGAAAGGAGTTTATTTTATTCAAGGTGTTTTTTTTTTTTTTTTTTTTTTCTTTTTTTTTGTGTGGTTGAATATTCTAAGTTGTATATTGAGGTGTACCTAGTGGTTAATCACACTCTGCTGTTAGGATTGTGAGACTTAGGATTCTAAGGCACGTTCTTAGACCATTGCAGATGATATTATTCCTTTTTTTGTGGAAAATCTTTGAAAAGTAAAATGATGGCTGCTTTATGTTTGGAGAAATCTTGTAACATTGTTGGCCTCCTCCAAGTCCCTTTTTAAATAGTATTTATATGCAAAACTAAGCTACATTTGCTGATGAGGCATTATATATTTTACTATAAAGAGAAGGGAGTGATGAATGGATTTCAAGTTGGACTATGAAAAGACTCATATAGAGCTAGAGTTGTTTGTTGAAGATTATATTGGACAAAATTTAGTAACTTAGAGCATTTTAGTTGTATTTTGTATATGTGAATGTGTATCTATGTTTACCATCATCCATAAGCTGTAATTTGTGAACTTAACTGGCCATTGATATATATGTAATCACCCAAGTCTATATGGGTAGCCACCCATCTCTTGTAAGTTACTAGCCAGTACTTAATATGGTGTTTATTCATGACCTTTCTGAGTTACCAATCATTACTAGCAAGTAAGAGGATTGCTAAAGTTTAATCATAAGGATCTTTTTTAAATAAGTGAAAATATCAAGTAATAGCTCAACACCTGAGGAAAATAGAAAATAATATCTGAAAGTAGTATTAGCTCAAACAAGCTGACAGGTTGAGTTTCTTTTTTCTTTTTCTTTTTATCTTTTAAGAAAATCAAACTCCACTTAATATGTGATATTTGGATAACAAATTTTACTTTATTTATTCATTTATTTATATTTTGCTAGATAGTATGTGTTTTGGCTAAACATTAGAGTACTTAGCAATTTGAAAGTATAGTAGCTTAAAAAATTGATGTGGCAATGCAATTTTCAATGTGTTGCCATTAAAGTTGCTCTAATTTCCCATTACTTAACATGGTTGTTATTTTTTGACCTGTGAAAGCAACACCATTGACAAGTTACAAAGCCAACAATACTTTGGCCTTGCCACATCATAATTTTAAGTTGCTAAACTTTTATTTGCAAAGTACTCTAACGGCTAAATTTAAAAAATTGTAGCATGCAAATAAACAAATGAATAAAATAAATTTAGTTATCCACATGTCACATTTTAAGTGGAGTTTGAGGCTTTGAGCTACTGCTGCTTTCAAAGTACACATTTTTATTTTTATCCTCCAATGGTCAGCAACCTACATGATAATTTACTTATTTGTAAGCAGTTTCTAAAGTAACCATTGGAGATTGACAGGACAATTAAATTTCTTATTATGGGGAATATGGTTGGTAAAGCTCCTTAGAGCGAGAAACATGAGCCTAGTGCAACCTATATGAGCCTTGATTGCATATCTTCCCAAGTGTCAAATATAAGGTGTGTAATGGTGCAAAATTGTTCTTTCTAACTTCTTGTTAAAAACACTTTGGCTGATTTTCATTTCAAATTCCTTTAGATAGTGTTTGGAATCCATGAATTCAACTATGGAATCTAAAGCTTGAATTCCAATTTCAAATATGCTGTTTGGGAAAAGCTAATAAGTTAAATTCTAGAATTTTCAAATACCACCGATCCTGTGTGGGAAGTGGCATTTTAATTATGGGATTGCCACTTATCTATCGAAAACACTTTCATATTGAATCTTTCACAATTACTAGGACTTAGAACATCGTATTCCTAGAAAATAACAAATTTGAAAAATAAAAAAAGTCAATATTGTAACTGCATTACCATTCATGAATTGGAAGTATAATTACTCATTAATATGGGTGAAGATGTAGTAGGGTTAAAAGGAGATCTATGCTATTTACTAGCTTTAACAGAAAGAACGAAGGCATAATATTTTGTAGAGAAAAATAGAGAGCTTACTACCTTCGTTTTTTTTTAGTTGACGCATATTCCTTTTTGGGATTTTTTTTTAGTTGACACATAGTTCTTTTTGGGGTATTTATATTTAGTCGACCACAGTACCCCACTACAAACTTGATTAAACAAGCTAAGCACATGGTCTACCCACTTGCTTTACCATTTTCTCTCCTCTCCTTAAAGTATATGCCTAAATTAAATTTGTCATTTAATAAGAAACGGAGGAAGTATGAAATAGGGAGGAGAAGCGAACCTTGAACCACCAATGGCTGAATTTAGAGGAGGAGAGAGAAATCAAAGTTGCTTCCCATACAATGTGATTCAGGTAGGATAGGAAAACGGAGGAGGAAGAGAATGATTAAAATGTGCTTTTGCTGAAAAGTTTCAAGAAAATTAATATGTCATTGGAATTACACATTCATGGCTTGGTGGGCCTCTAACGTTAAATAAGGATTCAGGCCAATTCCAGAATTGCTAATTCTTTTGTTCCTCAACACCTCAATTCACCCAATTCTAGAAATTTTGAATAAAATTCTAGTATCCAAACACAACATGAGACTAATTATTGATATTTGTTGTTATGATCCTACAAGCATCCGCCTGACCAGTGTATATGGATGATTGAGATTCTGCAGCTTTCTCATGCAGCTTCTCCAACATTTGTTAGAGAGTCCAAATTCCAAATTGACCAAACCCTGTCTCTACATTATAAACGATTCCAGCATCTCTAAGCATGGGAAAGATTATAGTTCACTGTGGTTTTTGGCGACCTTGGTAATAAGGTCTAAGGACAATATGGCCAAAACAATTACTGTCTTTGCAATGTGCTACAGTAGTAGTGGATCAAGGAAGCACCTGTTAAGACTATTATTACAGTCTTCTTGCATGCTGATCGATTGGTTTGATATATCTTTTGCAGATCATTTATCAAATGCTCTAATGCATAATCCCAATCTAATTTAAGTCGCTATTCATTACTCAGCTTTTATAGGTTTGTCTCTTTAATTTTCTTGTGTGCCTAAAGATTGAATAGCCGAGGTGCTTGAAATATGACAACCAGTGACTTGCTAAACTATCTTTTCATTCATTCAATTGCACTAATTAGAGTACTGTTATGATTAAACACGACAAAGAATGGATTTATGTGGTTACTGGGATAAACATCTGCATAGCCATACCTGCCTGCTTTGCACACTCATATTCATTGTGACTAATTTTGTGGATATGGTAAAGCCTAGATCATTGGAAGAGAACACTAGATTTCTTGTTACGTTTATGCTCTTGAAATAAATACTTTGCACTAACCATTCTCTATGGCAGTCATCAGTAAAATCGTAGTTATATCTGATTGAGAATATAATGGCACACACACACACACACACACACTCGCACACTCACACGCACACACACACGCACGCACACGCACACACGCACACGGGCACGCGCGCGCGCACACACGCACACGGGCACGCGCGCGCGCACACACACATATTATATATTTGATTCCTTTCTCTACTTTCTTATTGTTTGTGCTACTGAAAATTATTTCTCTAGCACAAAAAATGAAATGACCCCTATTCCTTATTTATGAATCATTGTATTTGGTAGAACTTGACTTGCTGGCATCTTGATCTCTTGATCCTTCAGGTGCTCAAGGGCCTCAACTGCAGAAGGTACTAGAGAGGCTTACTGGTCAATACACCGTTCCAAATGTTTTTATTGGTGAGTGGTCTTGAGAGAAATTTTTTTTTTATCTGTTTTATGATCACAGTATGTCCATTACTTGAGGTACAAGATGAAACATATAATTTCTTGATTCCAAGTGATTCATTTTCATCATAAACCAATGTTTTGTAGTTGATGTCTGTGGTTTTGGGTATTAAATTATTTTTCTCTTTTTTATTTATGGAGGGGAAAAAAAAAATAACTTGCACGGAATTTCACATTTGCATGCATCATGTCTGTCTTTGATTGTTCAAGATCAGCTGTCTAGCAGTGCAGTCAGCTACACATGCTATTTTGAATAGATATCAACTAGCTTATTCAATTACTTTCAAAGGGTTGCATTTGTCGGCAATCATGCCTCACCAAACCTCATAATCGTGGAAAATGTTTTCTTTTTTAAACTGTCTTTCAAGTGTAATCCATTTTTTGCAATCTTTATCTGATTTACTAATATTATTTAAGTGCTTATACATCCTCTTCTATTGTCTGATCAGGGGGCAAGCACATTGGCGGTTGTTCAGGTAATTATAGTTTTTATTTATTTATTTATTTATTTTTTTTATCTATTGCAGAGTTACGCGTCTTGTTAATTCCTTTTTGGGTTTGCTTGAATTTTGAGCTCTAAGCAGCCTAATTTATTTACCTTGAAACTGATAGCCATCTACCGATCGTCTGAAATGCTCTAAAATTTGTGTGCTTTATAGCCATCCTAATGTTTCATTGTGGATGTTTATATTAATTACTTAATGGTTTTATGCAGAAACTGTGAAGCTTTACCATAAAGGAGAGCTTGAGCCATTGCTTGCTGAGGCAACTGCCAAATCATCATAGAGCTAGCAACTCCAAAGCTCACTTAACCAGATGCGTTGGCCTTTCCTTGCAAGATATGCTCATCTTTGCTTTCTGAGAGCTGCAAGTTTTTTCATTCTTGTTGATTTATTTGTGAAAACATAGCTATTGAAACTTTTAGGCAATAATTAGATTTGTCAAAGGTAGCACACAATACATTTTCAAACCAATTCTTACATGAAAGTAAATTATTGAGTTATTGAATATATCAATCTATACCAAGTAGTAGGTAAAATATGACAGTTTAAAAATCCATTTGAAGAAGCTGATGTCTAGGATTCCGTCAGTGATACTTCTGTCTCTCACTTTCTCTTCTTCGCCTTTAGTTGGTAGTCTTTTTACCGGGATGGAATTTGGATGGTGGTCTTCTATCTCTTTCTTTCTTTCGACTGGCCTAGAATAATTTATTCTTAAAAATGAACTTCATTATTCGGTAAAAACTATCCTTCAATCAGGGTGCTGGAGCTGCAGTAAATCGCTCTCTTAGCCCTCTATAGTAGGCCAACATCTTATCATTATCTGGTAGGCTCTCTTTGATCTCTGGGACTTCCTTAAATCTCTTGCTCCAAGCCAGTAACCTGGGGAATTCATCAGATTCCAGTAGTTTGATTCCTGCTGCTTCTTGCATTAATTCTAACCAGCAAGCAATCCATCCTAAGCATATATCAGCATACCCAATTTGATTCCCACTGAAAAAATTCTTCTCTCCCAACCCTTTGTCTTCTATTACATGGAGTAGTTCTTTAGCTTCTTTTGCAAGCTTCTCTTGAGCTTCCCCAACAGCTCGGAAATAAGAATAGAATGTTGGGCTCTGCATCATTTGTAAGATCTACTTAGGCATGAAAATATATTTTGAAGTCTCGTGTTGATATGAATCATGTGCAAAAAGTTTTGGAAAAACATGAACCGAATATAAATTTTGGTTTTTGGATAAAGAAAAGTTATTAATTTTACTCATTTGCTATCCATTAATATTTCCTAATTTAGTAGAGGATGTTCTGAGGTTATGTCATTATATGAACACTAAAACTAAGCTGTAAGTGTTGACTCCTTATATAGTTGAGTGTTGATTTTCTGAATTAGATGGTCAGACAGGAGAAATTTTTACATCAACAGTGGAAAGGGGAAAAAAAAAGAAATAGAAGTTCTACCTTATCTTCTAGAAATTTAGCCCAAAATCGCGCCACGGCCTTCTCATAAGGATCAGCTGATAGCAGGGGATTCTGAGGCCAAACCTCATCTATGTACTCAAGAATAATAATTGATTCTGCTATAGGTTTTCCATTATGAATGAGGACTGGTATTCTCTGATACACTGGGTTATATCGTATAAGGTCATCACTCTTGTTTGCTATATCCTCTTCTGTATAATCATACTCGACGCCTTTGAGTTTCAAAGCCCAAATAACTCTGTGACAAAAAAACACTAGACCAAACTTCCAGTAGTTTAACCTCCTTCATTTCTGTTGGTGAAATTGAGGATTTATTCAAATGAAATCTTGCATTTGTTAATGCAAACTTTTTTTAAGGTAAAGCTTATGATCTGAAAGTTGTAGGAAGTTCTGCTTTATTATTGCTGTTTCTTTTTGACTATTTCTATGGCCTGGGCATTTTCTTGGTTTAAGAAACTGACGTTTAAGATGTTAAATAAAGTTAAAGTTAGGTTAGGTGATGCAATTTTGTGGACCACTTATATTGTTATCTAGTTTCCCTAATGATGTGACAATCAAGTGTTTTCTGATCGGCTCAAGAATTTTATACTTAAGTCTTAACTGAGTTTTTTGCTGAAGTAATAGAGAAGATATTGCCCTTAATCCCTGAAAATTTATGTTCAGAAGAATGTTGTCGTCGAAGTATATTTGGGTGGATCGATTTACTAGTTTATCAGCAGAAAGCAAAGTTGCAAAGCTTAATATGAGGCGTAAGGCTTGAGACTTCTTCAGGTTTACATCCAGAATTAGTTGCTTTGATTATGTTTTATTAGGACTCCGGGTTTGCTTTCATGTTAAACATCTCTGATAATACACTAACTTCTGGTTTTAATCCAGTAGCTACTAAATGTTCAGAGATACATTTTATTCAGCAGGAAATATATTTTATTCACCCGACTGTCCTATCCTCAGCTTTTGTTACCTGACATAAACATCTCCCTAATCTGTTTGTAATATTCAAACATTTCTTCTCGGTCAGGCAGGTTCTCCTGGATTACTGATATTCTTAAAATTTTCTGCCCATAGTTTCAAACGAGGAAAATTGCTGCCTTCAAGTATCTTAACACCAACTACATCTTCAATTGTTTCAAACCACGAAGCAAGCCACCCACAAGCCAAGTCCATCAGCCCTACCTTGTCGCCACCAAAGAACTTCTTGTCTCCTAGAGCTTGGTCTTCTAAGACCTTGAACAGCTCCTTGCCTTCTTCTATTGCTTTTAGGTGGTCTTCTCCTGTAGCAATGAAAAATGCCCAAAATACAGGACTGATCTGCAATATTTAAGACAGTCCTAACTTCAAGTTTACAAACTTAACACTGTATTTAAGACAGTCGTAACTGAGTTTACAAATTTAACACCGAACAAGCTTTTTGATAGAATTTAGATGAAGTCTTATTATTAAGTCTTTTGTTCCTCAATAGAACTAAGCTGTTCAAGAGCTTGTTATATTGAGCTCAACAATATTTTATAAGACTCCTTAAAGTTTAGTGTTGAGTTAAAATAAGAGTTGAGTTCGAATATATGAGGAAGAAGCTCAGAACATTGGCAAATTTCTCTGAAGTAATTAACGGATTGAATCGATTTTGCTTTTGGGTTAGTAAGCCTATTTTAATTTTGCAAAATATATAATAATACTCCCTCAATTCCAAAATAAGTTATCAATTCTCTTCGTAATATAATTTCACAATATTATGATTAAAAATCTAAGAAACTTTTAAGGAAATCAAATTATAAGGGAAAGAAGCAATGAAAATAACTAATTTACCGTATCCTCAACAAACTTGACCCAAAACCGAGCAACAGTCCTCTCATGAAGATCTTGAGGAAGGAGATGATGCTGAGGCCACGTCTCTTCAATATACTCAAGGATTACATTCGACTCCGAGATCGAATTTCCGGCATGAACTAGCACCGGAACTTTCTTGTACACAGGGTTGCACTTCAAAAGCTCATCACTCTTGTTAGAAAGATCTTCTTCAATATATTCATATTCCACACCTTTGAGTTTCAAAGCCCATATTACCTTATAACAATAAGGACTTGGCCATGCTCCCAAAACCTTCACTTCTCCCATTTTTCTTACTTATTTTTACTTACTTTCTTGATATCTTAGCTTAACTTTTTGTGTGATTGTGTCATTTATTCACAATAAATTTGAATTTTCTATACAAGGTGACTGAATTACTTGAGTCAACTTGACTAAGTATTGTTTATTCACTTTTGTTTCAAAAAAGAAAAAGTATTGTTTATTCACTTAATTTGTTGTCTAATTAGTCAAATTTTTTTGTTTAGTCAAAAACTCAACTTTTTTGTTTTAATAATCAGCCAATCAGGATTAGCTACCTCAGCTTGCCTAATACTGATAGTTTATATTTGTGTTTTTAATTATTTAGAAACAAGGTTTGATAAGGCCTGGAAGATTAATAATTATACAGGGAATATAATTTCAAACCCGCTTTCCTCAAGACGCTATTCAAAGCAATGTTTTCGAATGAGCGGTTTCATTCTATATTGATCCTCTCTTTAGCAAATACGGAGCAGTGAAAATAGCATTTTGACTAAACATAACATCTAAACTAGCCCCAATCCGCTCATTTATGCCCAAAACGCTCTTTAATAAACAGGGTCAAAGTTTTGTCATATGTTGCCTCTAGTTTTTAATAGATGATTTATGTAAACTCGATCAGGTTCAACTTATTTCCACTTATCCATGAAAATATAAGTTTTTTTAATCGATGATTTATGTAAACTCTATTATGTTTAACTTAAATCTACTTATCCATGAAAATATAAGTTCATATAATTAAGGGTTAATAAGTCTAAAAGATAGTTCATGAAAATGAAGTCTAGATAAATTATTAATTCAAGAGATATAAAGGTTACACATATCTAATTCACAACTAAGTTCTTCATAACAAGCAGTGGCCGATCCAGGAATTCTAATAAGGGGTAGCATAGAATAATAAGGAAAAAAAACAAAAACTAGAAAAAAGTTCTATATTATATACTAGTATTATCGTTTAATAATTAGCCTTTAATTTTAAAAATTCATTTTGCTAGATAAATTCTACTACTTTATAATTTTAATAACTTAAATGAGAGTTTCAAAAAAAAAATAAAAATAAAAATGTACTAATATAAGTAAAAGTAATTTGTTTCAATAAAACCTTCTAAATTTTTTCGCCTCTCCTCTTCTCTTCTAGGGTTTCTCCAATTTATTGGTCGTTTAGGCCATAAATAGTTAAATTTCTTCGAAAATTAGACTATTTTCGACGCTTTTTCCTTAATTTTCTTTAGTTTTGCAATTTAGTTTTCAATAAATCTACACGAGTAGTGTAGATATTCGTCCGTCTCCCTATGATGGATTCGTTAGTTTTCGTTTGTTTTGTTGTTTGTTTTTGTTTAGGTTTTTATTTATTTTTATTTTTTATTTTTTATTTTTATTTTTTATTTTATTTTGTGTTAGGGTTTATTAAAAAGGTAATCATCTTTTGTACTATTATCAGTTCGTTGGTAAAGAGTTGTCCGAGATCGCAACGGTTGTCAAATCTTCAAATGCGTTCAAGTGAATAAGATGAAAATCATTCTTATGGCTACAATAAATCGTTAGACCGTCTCTCCGAAAAGGCTGTATATTCCAGCGATGTGTGCGAGAGATGTATCACAGTGCAAGATCTATTCAACGATAGTAGCTTTGATAAAGGAAACTCTTATTTGATTCAATTTTATGTATTTGTTGATTTAGATTTCATTTGTAGATGTCGTATGACTTTTGATTAATGAATTGATTTGTTTCCAAAAAAAAAAATTTGTTTCAATAAAAAAAATAATATTAGAACCTAAGAAACCTGTTTTATATATAATAGGTCTCTTTTCATTTAACATGGAAAGTAGGTTCAATAAAAAATAAAAAAAAAAAGAAAAAAAAAACAAGTTTGTTGACATTTGTTATAGCAGCCTCAAAGAGACCAGTTATTTAAGATAACAGGTCTCTTTGATTTTTTTTTTTTTTTTTTTTTTTTTCGGGCAGCCTTCGTGGATCCGCCTCTGGTAACGAGTATGGATTAAACTTGGTAAAGCTTGAAACGTTTAATTAAGTTCATACCTTTTACAAAGTACTTAACTAGAAGAGTTGTTAAAACTATTTTGCATTATCAAAAAGGAATATATATTATTGTAAACCCTAGCCTCCTCTCTCTCTCCTAAACTCTAGCCTCCATTGTCAATTTTGAAGGGGCTTTCATCGTATTTCACCGTTGAAAAGTCCCAATCTTTATTTTCTTTTAAGCATTTTGTTTCTTAGGTTACAATAATGTCTCCCTCAAAAGAAAGGGTTTATCTCTTTCAAAAGACAAGGTTTTTTCGATCTCCTTCGAAAGACAAGGTTTTTCGGACTCCTTCGAAAGACAAGGTTTTATTTGTGTTTAATTTGGTCTCTGGTTGTGCGGGGCTACGATTGATTATGACTTAGATTCGGGTTACGGAATCAGCACAAGAATTTACTTTCTCACAAAATTGCGAAGCGACGACAGATCCACTCAAAAAGTTGTATGAGACAACGAATTGAGAATGTGCCGAATTGTTATATTTATGTATTTGGATTCTTAGCGCTTCCCCGATTAATTCTTGTTTGATTTTGTTAAATTCGTTTTCATTATCGTTAATTGTCAATTGTAGATGTCGTATGACTTTAATTAATGAAATTTAGTGTCCTTTAGGACTTCTTTAAAAAAAAAACAGTTGTTAAAACTTTTAATAACAACTCTCCAAAAAGTGCAAACCCTAAATCTGTAACCTCTATACATAAAACAATTTTCTCACGACCTTCATCAACTATCTAGACCAGGCATACATTTCAACAAGACAAGAGGACACAAAATAATTTCCCAAATAACTTCAGCTTCTCCTACCTAGATTGTTTTTCTTTGTAAATTGAATTGTTTTGGCGTATTAGAACAAATACGTACATTCTAGTAAAAGAAAATCATCTCAATAGAACACATATATATTGTGGTTTTATAAAATTTCTCATACGTAATTTTTCTTTGACATACGATATGTTATCAAGAATTCAAGATTGTGCAAGTACCCTAGTATGTTAATTACCAGATAACACAATGAAGCTAGAAGTTTAAATCTATCTAAACTCAAATTATATATTATTTCGAAATAGATGGCGTATAACTATGAGAAAATTATTGTAGACATGTCGGCATATATGATAAGAATGGGAAACTATAGTAAAACGAGTAAACAACATGAAGTGTCTAAACCTACCTTAAGATTTGCTTACCACTATAGAAGGTGCGTGACCATTTATCATCATTAAAATGTTTGACAAAATAGTAATCAATAATTCAGTTCTCATTCTAGTATTTTGGTATTTTTGGAAAACCTACCACTAGATTCTTCGTAATGTACACATGGTAAACCCTTAAACTTCCCCCTATTAAATTTACCACTATTTAACTTAGTGCATAGCACTATACATTGTTGAAATTGCAAATCTAGTAACTAAATAGCACGTACCACTTATTATCTTAGTGCTTAGCACTAAATATGGGAGGGTTTATTTTAACGAATAGGCACTATAAATGGATGAAATTATATCTATTTAGTAATTAGAACATGCACGTGGCACTTCAAAACTTTGTCAACCCAAACCTTCATTGAAATTATTTATAAAATTTGTGGGACCTAGTTTAACACGTACTTATGCATGTTCATACTACATCCTTATCTACGTCTCACTATAAATAGGGTGCTATTGGTTAAGAATCAAGTGTAAAACTAAGCTTTTCATCTTGCTAGTCACTTCTACATACATTGATTTAAGTTGAAGAAAAGAGAGGATAAAAAGCTTAGAAAGAGAGTGATATACATTATATTGAAATAAACACTCAACAATTATACATTTAAGTGTAATACTCTTGAGAGGAAAAATAATAATGGGGAGGGTTTCTTTGTGTCTTAACATGTTAGTTGTACTATTATGTATGCATTTTTTGCTTATTGAAATAGTACAAGGAAGAATGGCGAGGGAAGATAATATTCTAAGGAATGAACACGATAGATATGGAGATCATGTAGGAGTATGTATTGGTAGTGATGGGAAAACAGATGGATGTGGTCACATAGGTGAAAGTGGTGGTGGAAGTAGAAGAGAAAAAGGTGGAGGAGGTGGTGGCGGTGGAGGATTAGGAAGTGGTGCAGGTGGAGGTGGAGGTTTTGGAGCTGGAGGCGAAGTCAGAGGTGATATTGGTGGAGGTGGGGGTGTCAGTGTTGGAGGTGGAGTAGGTGGTGGCGCTGGAGGCGGAATCGGTGGTGGTGCTGGTGGAGGTGGTGGAGGACGAGGAGGCCGAAGAGGTGGTGGTGGAAGAGGTGGTGGCGGAGGGGGTGGAGGAAGTTTTGGAGGAGGTGGTGGAGTAAGCGGTGGTGGAGGTGGACGAGGAGGTGGTAGTGGTTCTGGAGGTGGAGGGGTTGGTGCTGGTGGCGGAATTGGAGGTGGGGGAAGTGTTGGAGCTGGAGGCGCGGTTGGTGGTGGTGTTGGAGCTGGAAGTGGAGGTGGAGCTGGTGGTGGTGGAAGAGGTGGTGGTGGTGGAGGTATCGGTGTTGGAGGTGGCGGTGGAGGAGGTATTGGTGCCGGTGGTAGTGGTGGAGCTGGAGCTGCAGCTGGTGGTGGTGGAAGAGGTGGTGGTGGAGGTATCAGTGCTGGAGGTGGTGGTGGAGGAGGTATTAGTGTCGGTGGTAGTGGTGGAGGTGGAGCTGGTGGTGGTGGAAGAGGTGGTGGTGGTGGAGGTATCGGTGCTGGAGGTGGAGTTGGTGGGGGAGTTGGGGTAGGTGGCGGTGGAGGAGGTGTTGTTGTCGGTGGTGGAGTTGGAGCTGGTGGCAGTGTTGGAGGTGGAGCTGGTGGTGGCGTCGGAGGTGGAGGTGGAGGTGGAGGTGGTGGAAGAGGTGGAGGTGGTGGAGGTATTGGTGCTGGAGGTGGAGTTGGGGTAGGTGGCGGTGTAGGAGGTGGAGCTGGTGGAGGTGTTGGAGGTGGAGCTGGTGGTGGCGTCGGAGGTGGAGGTGGCGGTGGTGGAAGAGGTGGAGGTGGAGGTGGTGGAGGTATTGGTGCTGGAGGTGGAGTTGGGGTAGGTGGCGGTGTAGGAGGTGGAGCTGGTGGAGGTGTTGGAGTAGGAGGTGGAGTTGGTGGACGAGGAGGTGGCGGTGGAGGTGGAGGCATCGGTGCAGGTGGTGGAATTGGTGGGGGTGTTGGCGCTGGAGGTGGAATAGGTGGTGGAATTGGGGGAGGTGCAGGTGCAGGAGGTGGTGCTGGAGCTGGAGGTGGTGGAAGAGGTAGAGGTGGAGTTGGTGGCGGTGGAGGAGTTGGCGGCGGCGCCGGGGTAGGAGCTGGTGGAAGTGTTGGAGCTGGAGGTGGTGGTGGTGGAGGATCTGGTGGTTTAGGGGGTGGAGGTGGAGGAGGTGTTGGAGCAGGAGGTGGTGTTGGGGCCGGAGGTGGTGTAGGTATCAGAGGTGGTGTTGGAGCTGGGGGTAGTGTAGGAGGTGGAGGTGGTGGAGGAGTTGGAGGCGGTGGTGGAGGATCTGGTGGTTTAGGGGGTGGTGTAGGTGGTGGAGGTGGAGTTGGCGGTGGTGTTGGAGCTGGAGGCGGTGTTGGGGCTGTAGGCGGTGTTGGGGCTGGGGGTAGTATCGGTGTCGGAGGTGGTGTCGGTGCTGGAGGTAGTGTAGGTGGTGGTGGAGGTATTGGGGTCGGTGGTGGTGGCGGCGGTGTTGACGTAGGAGTTATGTCTATGGGTAGAAATGGCCACAAAAATGTCGAAGAAGTTTATCCATAAGTGTTGTTATTGCTACGTATTGAGTTACTACTCGTAGCCTTGTCATAGTATTTTCTTGTTTTTTTTTTTAAATCATTTACCTTATTGTATGTATATATAAATACTTATATAAATAAGGCATACAAGGCAAAATATATAAAAGTGTTATACTACGTATAACTATTTACACCTTTATCTTTAGTTATTTCATATATATTGGTTTATATAAATTTATTTTTCCGAGTTACATATATCATTCCATATGTGTTCATCCTTACATTGTTTTAAAATTTTAAAGAATACAGATATCACTTTCTAACAGACTAACATAATTCATTCAACTTCTTCCCTCCAATTAAAAAATACGAAGTACCAAGCATAGAGGTGTAGTGGTGGTTTGCATCTCACAACCATGAGGTTATGGGATCAAACCCCACTAGAGGCACTTTGGGGTGGGGATTTCCTTACCCATCCCCCTCCCCCCCCCCCCCCCCCCCCCCCCACTTTCAAAGTGCCTAGCCCGCTAACGTGGGCCGGGAGGACCTGTGAGAGGTTTTGGTCCGGTAGGGCCCTTCTCCTTACCTAACAAAAAAAAAATAAAAAAAAAATTGATATTAAAAAATAAAAAATACGAAGTATCAATATATTGTGGCTGATTCAGGATTTTATGGATGGTAGGTCATCAATTCACCATGCACCGTCCAACAATGATAATACAAAGTATCAATCAATAATAACACATTGTTTACAAAAATAAAAATCAATACTTCAAAGTGTCATTTTCTAAGAATAATACGAAGTAAATATTACCACCGTCGTTACTTTTTAATTAAATTTTTTTTATATAAAAAATGAGCAAAAAAAATAATATTGTTTGTACTTTAAATCCAGTTGAGTGTATATAAAATCTAATCTTCATTTTGATATTATGCGAAATTATTAGAGATAAAGTTGGAAAATATTATTTACCGTTATTTATACTCCGTATGAAAGATATTATTGGGTGTAATAAGAATCAATCTCTCTAATGTGATATTGATATTATGCACAAAAAAAAAAAAAAAAAAAAAAAAAAAAAAAAAACACAACCTTACACCTATTACGTATCGTTTTTTTATATAGTTTGGGTCATTAGGTTGGGTTTGATTGGGTCTATTTGGGTTTGACTTAATTAGATAAAAATTGTATAACACGGTTGTCAGAATGTCAAAGTGTCAATTTAGGTCATTAGGTTGGGTTTGATTGAGTCTATTTAGATTTGACTTAATTAGATAAAAACTGTATAACAAGGTTGTCAAAATGTCAAGGTGTAAATTTAGGTCATTGGGTTGAGTTTGATTGAGTCTATTTGGATTTGACTAATTAGATAAAAACTAGATTTTTGTTTATATTTTATAAAATAAAATATTTTGCTAAATACATATTTATATGATAAACTATGGATATTCATGTTTTATTCACAAAAATTCATATGTGGCTGGCCACACTGTGTGGTCGGGATTACTTGGTCAAGAGTTACTCGATCGATCAGAAGTTACTTGGACGAACAGGGGTTACCCGGTCAGTGTTTTGGTGTGTCTCAGCCAGCCACACGATATGGTCGGCCACACAGAAAACACGCTTATTTTATTTTTATAATTAATATAAAATTTAGATCGAAAATAAAGTGCATTTTTTTTTTCATTGGCTAAAATTTTTTTATGTGATGCTCCAAAATATCTTGAATAAACTCTCCTTTATGTAATTTTTGTAAAAAAATTATTATAATGTTGGTTCCATTAATCATCCAAATAAATTATTTAATTTTATTCATGATAATTTTTGTAAGCATAATAATCTTATATGTTGCTCTAATAATTTTTTGTAATCCTGCGTAGCACTTTAAAAAAAAAAATTAATCTTACATGGCACATCCTATTGTAGATTTTTTAAAATATTAATTATACGTGGCGATTTTTTTATTATATGTAGCACTTTAAAAAAGGGATTTGTTAAACATCGCCCACAAATCTCTACATAACGCCCACAATTATTTTTATTTTGACGCTTTTGCCCCTTTTATCTCACGAAAAATGTGGAGCAGGACTGGATCGCCGAGGGGCACCAGAGAGCCGTCATTGTCGCCAGAAAGCGAGGTACTTTTCGCTAAAAAATTATGAAATGCCGGCCGGCGTATGGTCTGACTGCCGCCACCGTGGAGGTGGCGCTTGGGCGGGACGCCGCCACCGTGGCGGTGGCGCCTGGGCGGGACGCCGCCACCGTGGTAGTGGCGTCTGGCTGGGGCGCCACAGCCACGGTGGCGGCGTCCCGCCCAGGCACCGTGGCGTCCTGGCCAGGCGCCACTACCACGGTGGCGGCATCCAGATCTACCAGATGATGTGCCATATCTACTAACAAATCTACCATCTCTACCCTTACGCACATCTACCCTATGCGTCTCATACATATCATCAAGATTCTGACTGAATGGACCGTAATCATCATATGGTCCACTCTGATCGTCCATCCCAAGCACCACATCCTCATCTGCCTCCTCCTCCTCCTCCTCCTCATCACTATCATCATCTTCATCCTCTTCAGGATAGTGAATCCGTTCTCTGCGAGCCGAGGCCGAAATACCACAAGATCGACCGTGTCTGGGCCCCGAGCTCTCCATTGAATAGTTTCTACTTCTAACAACGTCCATACTCTTCCCCGCACCACGTCGAAAATGCAATCCCTAACTCCATTTAAATATCGAAAAATAATAGCAATTGTTATTATTATTATTTCTATTAATAATCTATTTTTTTAAGTACAAAAATAAAAAAATAGAAATAACTAACCATAAAAATATCAAATAAACAAAAAAATAGTAACAAATTGACATAAAAAAATTAAAAAAAACTGAAATAAGAATATAAACAAAAAAAATACATAAAAATGGAAAAAAAAATACAAAAAATTTAAAATAAATATAAACATAAAAAACATTAAAAAAATAATAATAAAAAAATACAACAGAATTGAAAAAAAATATATAAAAATAAACAAATGAATATACAAATAATTGAAAAATAAATATAAACATAAACATAAACATAAACAAAAAAAAATATCTGGAAAAAAAATATAAACATAAAAAAAAATCTGAAAAAAAAATAAATAAAAAAAAAAATCCCACGGCGGAGGCGGCTGGGAAGGACGCTAAAGCCACGGCGGCGGCGCCCACGCAAGACGCCATAACCGTGGCTCTGGCATCCCGCCCAGCCGTGGGGCAGCAGGACGCCACCACCGTGGATCTAGCGTCCCAGCCACACGCTCCGCCGCTTCGAGGTTTTATTTATTTATTTTTTTTTATTTTTCAAATAAAAAATACCCTGCCACCGTGTGACCGCCTTTCCTCCGCCTCCGCTACCGCCAATTTCTTGCCTTGCCGCCTCGACACTGTAGTTTGAAGATTTTTTTTTAGAGAGAGGTGATGAGAGAGTAGGGAGAAGATGAAAGTGCGTGAGAGTTTTTTTTTTTTTTTCTTTTTTTTACATATAAGGACAAAAGTGTTAATTCAACTAAAATTTGTGGGCTTTATGTAGAGATTTGCGGGTGATGTTTAGCAATTCAGATCTTACGTGGTATAATCTTATTGTAAAGTTTTTAAATACTAATCCTACGTGGCGCTCTAACAATTTTTTAAAAATTAAAATCCTATGTAGTGCACTAAAATCTCGGGAAAAAACTCCCCTTTATTCATATACTAGTACGTGCCTCGAGCGTTGTCTCGGACACCCATTTTAAAGAGTGTACTTATTTGTGGACATATTGTATTATTATTTTTATAATTATAAGTATAATAATAACAATAATAATAATAATTATTATTATATTAGTATTTATATTTTTTAAAATGTTAGATACAAATAGAGAGTAGAAACACTACTACATATTATTCTTTTTTCACGTTTGTTATTATTTACTGTTTTTGTAAGTTGCACAATATTCATTTGGTCTACTACGACCAATATTTGTGAATTATATATATATATATATATATATAATTAAGATATTGTTTATCAAAGTTCTATGTTGACATATGTGCTAAATTTTAATGAGACACTAAAATAATAAAGGGGGTATAATTTTGTGAAAAGAAGAGTGCTCGGTAAAAAAATAATAAATAAATAAAAAGTTAAAAGTAATTATTTTTTTAACACGTAAAATCACAGATTATATTATTGGCCCAATTAGAACATTTGTAATAATATATGGCTCGTAAATGGGCTACGGAGGCTTTGTAAAACCCGTAAAGTTTTATGACCTAGCTAACATTTATCCGAATTCACTTCAAGATTCTGTTGTATTATACAGTTTCTGTTGTGTCCTAATTTTAGTAGTTTTTAACTTCTTTGATTTCATTAACAAAATCACAAATATTACAACCGAATATGAAGAATACCTTATTAAAAAGCTTTAATGGTAAATCAATAGTAGACTAAAAAAATTTTAAGATACATGACCATATTTATAATTAAAATTACGTGGTTATTTGTATAGGAGTAAAATTCTATTGTTAATTGGATATTCATATTAATTATAATATGTGGTGTGTTGATATAAGTAAAATTCTATTGTCAATAAAAAGATAAAAAAATTTCAAAAGAATTATAAATTATTTTATGTATTATTTTTTATCCTAAACAAATCTATCTAATCTAATCTAATCATAATAATATCTATTTGTCGCCTACGTGGGCGACACTTGGCGAAAAAAATGGAATGTCAAGTGTCGCTGTCTCGTGACCTGGCTGCGAGACCGACTTTATTTATTAGTGATATGATAGTTTTGTGCCCAGGCAATGCTCGGATTGTTGATAAAATTTTAGGATAAAATTTTTGGTTTGAATGTTAAATATAGTCAAATAAACTCTTTTTATAATGCAAAATAATAGTACCTTTTATCGTTTATTGCTTCCATTGTTCTTAAAATAAGTTGAAAAAAATAATAATATGATTAGCATAAAATTAAGAAAAAAAA